GGGGAACAGGGGGGGGGAACAGGAGATGGGGGGGACAGGCACGGGCAGGAGCCACAGGAGGCAGAGTCCCAGCAGGTGGTTCCCCAGGGGAGCGAGGTGACTCACTGTCACACTCTCCTCCCGGGTCAGCCCTCAGCCCAGCAGGCCCAGGGTTTGCTGGGAGGTCTCAGCATTAGCAAAACCCTGCTCCCCTCCCTCTGTATTCGGCAGGAGTCACGCACCCAGCAGGGCCGAGCCCGGGCGGACGGAGCTGTGGGGGAAGCCAGGCTCACCTCAGTGCCAGGAAGTTCTGCCGGCACTCCAGGAGCCGCGCCAGGGCCTGGGCACAGCCGTCCGTCAGCTTGTTGTTGAATAAACTGGAAAGTTCGAAAGAGAGACATGGAGACCAGACATGGCAGACAGTGAACCCCCAAACCCAGGGCAGCCCGTTCCCCCAGGATGGGAGACACCTGCACCCTTCAGCCACGCAACGCCCGCCCAGCCTGCCCCAGCTCACAGCCGCTCCCGGGACCTGGCCCAGCCCGACTCACGCGAGCTTCTGCAGCTCCTCACAGCGCAGGGCGTGCTCGGCAAGCGTGCACACGCCGCGGTCCGAGATGTTATTATCTCGCAGGCTGCAAAACACCAAGCAAATCAGCTTGAAAATGGAGCTCAGGAGAGGGGGAAGAAACGAACCAGACCTCAAAGGGGATGTTCGCTCATCCCCAAAGCACCAGCATCTGTCCTTCGGGAAACGCCCCCATCCCTGGCCAGCTGCCCACGTCATGCTCGGTGTGGGGGACGGCTCAGGAACGGGGGACCTGGCGCTCCCGCTAAAGAACACTGGGCTCCTCGGGGAGTCACGGACCTTGGGGAAGGGAAACAGCTGTCAGAGAGGCCTCCTAGAAGGTTCCGAGGTGGAAAAATAATAATAATCCTATCTAATAATAGACAAAGATTGAAATTAACCGTACCTTCGCTACGCCTCCCATTGGCTAATCAGCGAGATATGCAAATGAACCGCCAACAAAGATGGCGGTTAATTTGCATACATAGGCGTGAAGCAGCGGAGCCAAGACTGAAGGCGCCTCCGGCTGGAGCGAAGGCCTGGGTCCCGGGTGCCGGAGGAAAACCGGTGCCGGCAGCCAGGGGAAGGGAAGGCCTATTGCATGAATCTTTTCGTGGAACAGGCCTCTAGTCTGTATATATAAAAGGCTAAGTGACTGACTGTCCGACCAACCGGCCAGTACATATCACATGCACTGGCAATTTAAAAATCAACATTGACTCGCGCAAGTGTAATCATGACATTAACTCTGTGTGATCTATGTTATGCTATTAGATCCCATTTATAAACTGAGGCTCACAACGTTGACTCGCGCAAGTGTAATCATGACATATTAACTCTGTGTGATCTATGTTATGCTATTAGATCCCATTTATAAACTGAGGCTCACAGACCCTACCTAAGGGATGAAGGTCACCGCTTCAGGGATCTGTGTGTTTGGTCCACAAAGAAAAAAGCTCCTGCCTGGCCAGCGTGGCTCAGGGATTGGGCGTCGATCTATGAACCAGGAGGTCCCGGTTCGATTCCCAGTCAGGGCCCAGGCCCGGGTTGCAGGCTTAATCCCAGTGTGGGGCGTGCAGGAGGCAGCCGGTCCATGATTCTCTCTCATCATTGATGTTTCTCTCTCTCTCCCTCTCCCTTCCTCTCTGAATCAATAAAAATATATTTTTTTAAAAAAAGAAAGAAAGAGAAAGACCTCTCCTGTTTCGGCCGAGAAGGTATGGCGGCCTCGTGTGTTTCAGGAGAGGCTGGTCCCTTGATGAGGGCCCCATGAAGCCGCCTGGGAGGCCGCGAGTGGACGTCGGCGTTAAGACCCAACTTCTGCTTTCTGAGAGGCTAGAATAGGGGCAGGACATCCCCTCCCGAGGCAGGAAGGCAGGCTGGGGAGCCTGCATCATGCTGGCCATCAGACAGGGCACACCCTCTGCGCTCATCCGGCCCAAGATGGGGCGAGAGGCCCACGGTGCCAGGGCAGTGACGTTCCAAAGGAGAACTCACCCTCAGATGGTATGGAAGGCGGCGAGGGTGACGCCAAAGCCTCGTCCAGAGCCAGCGCTGCATGAGGAACAAAAGCTCAGGCGGCCCGGCTGGCGGGGCTCAGTGGTTGAGCATTGACCTATGAATCAGGAGGTCACAGTCTGATTCCCGGTCGGGGCACAGGCCTGGGTTGCGGGCTCGATCGCCAATGTGGGGCGTGCAGGAGGCAGCTGATCCATGATTCTCTCTCATCATTGGTGTTCCTCTCTCTCTCCCCCTCTCCCTTCCTCTCTGACATCAATTAAATATATAGGTAGATATATACATATATAGATACAGAAAAAGCTCAGGCGGAATTCCACAGTCACGTCCCTCGGGGGCCCAAGAATTCCCGTCTGGTCAGGATTTTAAAGTTTCTGACGGGGCATGAGTCACCCGTGATTTGGAGCAGTTGCTGACACAGGCATCTACGGTGAACGATGTTGCAGGTGGCGTCCAGGTGGTCAGGGGCCCTCTGGAGCCGTCCACTGACAGGCTGCCAGGAGGGAACGGGGACTCAGAACCACGGGGGTGGGGCTTGTGTCTCCCGGCTCTGCCACTTCCCACGCGAGCCTGGACAAGTCACGTCACGTCTCTGAGCCTCGGGTGTAGGCTGATGGGGAGAAGAACGTCCCTGCGACAGCCGGGGTGGCTGTGCGGCTCAGAGGTTGCTCTGGGGAGTGTGTGGCACAGTGCCCAGCACCAGGCTGTCCTATGAGTGAGGGTGATCGTTGTCATAGATTTAAACGAAGGCCCAGGCCCAGCAGGAATTATATGTGATACATGCAAATTATATGTAAATAGTGTAGCATGTGTAAATTAATTATATGTAAATTATATGAGTGTCTAACCACGATGCTGTGCACCTGAAATAAATATAAAAAATAAAATAGCCCGGCCGGCGTGGCTCAGTGGTTGAGCGTCGACCTATGAACCAGGAGTTACGGTTCCATTCCCGGTCAGGGCACATGCCCGGGTTGCAGGCTCAATCCCCAATGAGGGGCGTGCAATCAATGATTCTCTCTCATCATTGATGTTTCCATCTCTCTTTCCCTCTCCCTTCCTCTCTGAAATCAATAAAAAAAAATATTTTAAAATAATAACATAAACGAAGGCCCAGACTGGGGGAAGGACCCGGCCGGGGCTGTACAGAGAGGCTGCAGGCTGGGGCTGGGCCTGACCACGGGGATCCCCACAGGTGCCCCCACACCTGCACCTGCACCTGCACGGTGACGCCATCCTCACCTCACCCACCAGCATGGCCCGCGACACTCACTACAGAGCCTTGCAGACGCCCAGGCAGGGCAGCAGCTGCTCCACGCCGACGTCGCCCACCGAGTTGTGGTCCAGCTGCAGGGCCACGGGCCGCCGGAGGTGGCGC